CGCTCCCTCGCGCACGCGGCAACGTACTCCGGGGCGCCGATGGGCGTGCCGAGGGCAACAAACCCACGCTCGGGCAACGGTTTGTCGCCACGCCACGCCTCAGGGCCGAGCTCCGAAATGCCCACGCGCGCTTTGCCTAGGTTGGCGGCAACCCCGGCAAGTTCCTCAACGGCAGAAGAAACCGCTTCGAGCGCGGCGCGCGCGCGATTGGGCACGGTGACGATATACAAGTCGTCCAAGAAAGCAGCAAGAAACTCTCCCGGCCGGAGCTGCTGGGAGGTCGCCACCAGCGCCACGTGCTGCGCAAGGGCAAACAGAGCGGGAGCCAACGCGTCGCCCTGCTCACAGCCATCGCCCTGTAGGATGCGGTGGCAGGCGCCGGCACCGTCCCACCACAAGTACACCGATTGCCGCGCATAGAAGGCGCGGACAAAGGGTACAAGCGAAGGCGTCACTTCCGCGAGTTTGTCGAGGAAAGCAGCCCGGGACACCGAGTCATAAGCGCAACGCCCGTCAAGAGACACGCCGGTGGCTGCGGGGTCGAGTTCGGTGGCAGCGCGAAGGCTGGCCCGTCCGGGCCCAGCCTTCTGCCTTTGCGTGGCTAGTCGCCACGTCGGCGCGCGCGCGCTTCGTTCGCCTTTCTCGGCGGCCGGAAAAAGGTGTGCGAAGAAAAAAAACTTTGCTGCGACGCCACTCTGGTGTCCCCCCTGCGGGCGGATGGGGCACCGGTACCGGGGGCTGCTGCCAGGCCGGTGGGGCTGCGAGGCGGTCGAGCTCGTGAGGCTCCGCGCCCAACGCGCGTCGCCTCCCTCGTCGACGTGCGGAGACAGAAAAAAAAAAGAGGCTGCGCCGCCGAACGTGCGCTACTTTGTCATGCACGCTTTCGGCAGAATTGGGGCCTAGTTTTGTTTGCAAGGATGTTTGCAGGCAAATGTCCGGCTGTTTGTCTGGAGTCGTGCATGATTTCAATCTGGCCTATCCAATCACATTTTGATAGAACTTGTCGCAGAAGATGCCTGTTGCCCTTGGTAAACAGTGTGGCAAACCCCCGCTTTTGAGATCAACAGCAACACGTTTGACCATGTGGGTGTTCCCCCCCCAGCACCATTAAACGGCTATGCAACAGCTTGGTATGCTCCGGGAGCACGTTCAAGCTCGACGTGCCTCCTCACAGACGCGCAGATGGAGACATCTGCCATGGGGATGCCAAAGGAAAACGTGGCACCGCAACGGATGAAGGCACATGCAACGTCACTATTGCAGCTAATTCCGGCATGAAAGCCAACAACCGAACAAACAAGGGAGATCCCTCCCTGCCACCACTAGGGCCAAGATGGCACCTGTGGAGATCATGTCAAGACCATGCCAAGTACATGACGTGTCACGGCGGCGGGGCTGGGACAGGACTGTCCTAAACTGGTCCTTCGAGGGAGGCTCTGGTTCGCAATCTTGTCTCCACAATACTGTTCCAGTAGGAACTGACCAACTCGGCTAGCTCCCTCTTGGCAGCCGGGTTGATGAATCCTTGCGCAGGGTTCTGCGCATGCTGAGGTCGCAAGTGCGTGAGGGTCCCCCAACACGGATCCAGTGCGCACAAAGCTGGGGTGCAGTGCTGGGGCCTGTCCTTGTCCCGTGCCAATGTGGACATGGTTCATCCGGAAGAGAGGAAGACTCTGACCAATGAATTCAAAGCCTTCGCCGTGTTGTGTGGCCTGCATGCACACAAAAAATTGATTTCTCACGCAGACGTCATTTGTTTTTGTGACAACTCGGCTGCCATGTTGGAGTTGGCAAGATGTACGTCGGTAAACAAGTTCATTATCAGGGTAGCTTGAGTCGAGGTTTTGGCGAGTTGACACAGGTCTCGTCAATCTGGGCATGGCAGTGTGCGCACGGCAAAGGTTGCCATCCCAGGTAGGATTCTTGCACTGACGCCCCTTGCCTAGCGAGTAAAAGGACCGAACGAAATGTCTCTGATATGTGGTGAGTTGCTCTCCAAGTTTGTATTTGGCAAGGATCATTTTTTTGTTGATTTGAAATAGCTGAGAGGAAATGTGCATTCAGTTGCTAGTTCCTATGTATATATTTGAGTATTTGACACGTCATGACATGCGTGGCTCGAGTCTGAAAGAAGATGGAACTCTTCGCAGAAGATGCAACCTTCTTTCTGACCCTGTCCCGCCCCAACAACTGGGGGGTGATTTTGCGAGTTGACACAGGTCTCGTCAATCTGGGCATGGCAATGTGCGCATGGCAGAGGTTGCCATCCCAGGTGGGATTCTTGCACTGACGCCCCTTGCCTAGCGAGTAAAAGGAGCGAACGAAATGTAACTGATGATCTCTGATATGTGGTGAGTTGCCCTCCAAGCTTGTATTTGGCAAGGATCATTTTTTGTTGGTTTGGAATTGCTGAGAATATATGTACATTCAGTTGCTAGTTCTTATGTATATATTTGTGTATTTGACACGTCATGATATGGGGTTTGCCCCGTGGCTCGAGTCTGAAAGAAAGATGACAGATTGAGCCAAGTAGCTCCATCAAGGGGCCTCGTGTGACAAGGTGTTGCCAGTGCACCACGATGTCCAGCCCAGCCGCCAGCTTTGTTGAACAACACCTTGGCTCTTGCAAATTGTTGAGCGTGTTTTGAGTTGAATGAAACCCTAAAAAGGTTTCTGGGGCCAGTCCCTACAGCAGACCTTGGGCTATGGCATTTGCCTCTGCGTGGTGCAGGGCGTGCGCTGCGATCATGCGAGGGAGCCGTGCGGCGCTGAGGATTGGTTGTGCCTGGACGTTTTGGTGGCAGTTGGTGATGGTTGTGTTGCTGGTGGCGGGGTGTGGTTCTAGTCTTTGGCCCGTGCTCGGCTCAGGCGTGGGCAGCTTGTCAGGACGGACGTTTGCGTCCGCGCGCCCTCCGCGATGGAAACGTCAGTGTCTTACCACGTGCAACTAGTGGGTCACGCGGGCCCTTGCGCTTGTAGACAGTTTGCACGTGAGGCTACCACATCACTGCAGATGGTGTGGGCTGCAGAGCAGCCAGCCAAACCGAGGATGGGTATCACATTGTTTCGGACACCCCGCCATCGGCTGGAGGCGCCATGCCTGTTTGACCCTGGTTGCAAAAGCAGACGGACCTCGGCATGCAAGCATCTGTCAGGCACCGGCTCCGCGCCCCAGCCAGTCCAAGACTCGGGGGTGATGCCCAGCAACCAGTCTGTCCTGTCGCCATGTGGCTGTGGGTCAAAAAGGTAACATGGACTAAAACCTGCGGTCCCCTGGTGGTTTAATCTTGACCCATGCTCATGTGTCGAGGTTCAGCTTTTGCTGGCAGCGCTGGTGGGCTGCGAGCAAGCCACCGCACACTTTGTGGCGACCAAAATGCGACTGCCGCCGATTCGGCGCATCGAGCCGCTCGGGCAAAAACCTTGAAGGTCGGATCGGGCAGAGGCCATTGGCTTGATGGGTCAGGGCTGGTGCATGCGCTCCTTGAGGTTTGATGTCCAAGCTGAAAGAGATGAGTGGGGCAGCATGCAGCCCCCAATTCATCAAGCACCACCTAGCGTCAGCAGAGTGCAAAGGACTGGCCGAGATGGTACGTTGCACTCTTTGTCGCCTTTTCGTCGCCCTGGGTTCTTGAATCGCGTGAACCTCTTGCCAGGATATGGGGTGTTGCACGTGCAGCTTGGCCTTGGCATTAGCATTTCGCACTTTTAGCACGTTTGCTGTAAGATGCCAGAGTTTGCAGTGGTCAGCCGTACGTTCGCCTTTTGGGCTGACAGTGAGGTGCACACCGATGCGAGCGGTGCCCAAGTTGCGGCAGTGGCCGAAGCTGTGAAGAGCCGCTGCCCAGTGGCAAGTGCCCAGGCTGCTATTTAATGCTGGGTTCCGGCATCCTAAGCCTTCCTGCATCCCTGGCTCCTTGCCATATCTGGCATCCTCCACATCCCTGCTTCAGCCCCAGCATTGCCGGACTTTCCCCGCCAAACAGGCTTTGCTAGAGGTTTGCACCTTGCCCTCGCGTGGACGCGGGTTGTTGGCACAACACAGTTCCCCCTGTCCACACTTGTCTGGATTGGGCTGGCCTGCTGTTAATCCGGCCCGGACGCATGCTTTTTTGTCTGCTTCGATTTGACAGTGGCCGACAAGCGTCCTGCGCTGGGGGGGGAGACTTGTTTTAAAGCAGGCTGGTTAGCCGCATTGGCACTTCTGGCTTCTGGACCGCCGTCTGTCAAGGCATGATCATCGCATCTGGCTGCGAGCTCTTTGCCTGCAATTGGAGGCTAAGGGAAGGCTGCTGAGGCAAGGAGGTGTGCGAAGATTGGTCCGTTTGGACTTAAAAACGGCTAACTGGACCCACCCAGTCTGGGCAGCAACCCCAAAAATAAGACAGAGGATAATCATGCAGCACATGAGGTTGGATGTTCGCTGGGTGAAGGCAGACGAGGGTGGCAACTGATGCCTGAAAGACTGGCATCGCTTGTCCCGCGAAAAAGGCATGGCTGCTTGTTTTTTGTTTTTGGCGTGATGTCCGCGGGCGAGAATGTTTTTTTTTTTTTGCTGCGGCGACTCTGCAGCTTTGTGCTGGCCTTCGAACTTGGTGATTCGTTATGGTCCAAAGAGATCAGCATGACTCGAATTGACCAAGAGTTTGGAACCTTTTTGTGCCAAAGGTTGCATGTTAGCCCACCACGTCAGCCTCCAGAGTTCCCAAACCCTTTGCTCAACATGGAGGGCGTGGGCTCCACACTGGATGTGCTGCTTTGAATGGTTGCCGCGCCAGCCGGAGCCGTTTCATGCACAATAGAAGCGTGATTCCACGTGGCAACCGTCTAGATGATAGCCTTTCCTTCAGACGCAGGCTGGTCGACACGTTGCTGATGCGTTCTTGACAAACAGGGGCAAAGTGCATCATCCGTTTGCTTTCCTTTCGTTTGGCACTTGCTTGGCTTTGGACAAGGAGCGGATCCGTGTAGGAGTCTAATAATGGAATTCTCTTGTTGCAGCGTTGGCGTCCGCCGCTTTTTCCCAACTTGGCTGCGATGGCGCTGTCGCCGGGCACCTTGCTGCACCTCCCGGGAGCGGCCCCGAAGCCGCAGGTGGGGGGGACTCCGGGACTGGGGCGGCTTCTTTTGGGTAACCACTGGGTGCTGGGCTCCAGTGCCAGCTTGGAGCTCAGCAATCGTCAGGCCCCTCTAGCTTTGATTCTGCCAACGGCAAAAGAGACGGTGTGAAGGAAGTTGAGACACTGCCAATTGTGTTCGGTTTAGGTTTTGCCAAGAGCCGACGAGAATCTGCCACGCAGGCTTAGCCATGTAGATTTGCAGATGCACACGAACTCAGGCATAGTTACGTGAAAAGTAGTAAGCCAACAGATCCATCAATGATACAACATGCGCCTTGCACACAACCACACAGAACCACACACATGACACACATTGTCACATTACACACATATATATCTCTTTATATATATATATATATATATGTTTGTATATATGTATAATTGTATATATGTATATATGTGTACTATATATACAGGCGCCAGTACGATACACATACAATGCATATATATTATATATATATATGTATATATGTATATATATATATATACATATATATATATATATGTATATATATACATATATATATATATATATGTATAATTATATATTTATACAAGTGTATTAATTAACATATGCACATATATATATATATATATATATATACATAATACACATGTGGGTGCACTTCAGTTTCGCGCTCTTTGCGAGTCGGAGAACTGCCAATAGATAAATCCACCCGGTGGGCGTCGCGGGCAATGTGCTCAGGGAACCTCAGCAATACCAACACTCTGAGTCGTGGCTGCGCTCACAGTGGACGCATAGGCCAGATCGTGGCTCTGCGAGTGGCGTGTGCCCTTTTCCGCGCCATCTTTACGGCGACGGATTCCGGATATGCATTAGGAGGACCATGCACCGCACGCAGGGGCGGACACATTGCTGAATATGTTCTTCAATCAAGCAGAGGCACGAAGCCGGCGCTCAGGCGCTCCAAGGTGTTTTGCAATTCCCCCTTGGAGCACGTTACCTACATGTACGGCTTTACATGTGTATATGTATGTGTGTATGTATATAGACTGCATACACATTTCCACATATGAATGGAGACAGAAGCTTTGGTTGTAGCGGCCCTGAGCCCTGAAAAGCCGCCATTTGGCCACCTGCCAGGTGCAAGGCCGGCTCTTCTCCTTGCCGCTCCGGCGGCGGCGAGCGCATGCGCGGCCTGCGTGGCATGGCTGGCACGGGCTGCGCCGGCCCGAAGGATGGAACTGGGGGGTTAAAAGCGGCATCCGAGCAGGCCATGCAAAGGAAGGCCCGATCACGTGCCTCAGGCAGCGTCCCAGGGGTTGATGAGCTGATGAAGGGAATCGTGACATGATGCACAAAAATAGATGGTGACGCAGACCTTTGCGAACTGAGGTTCTGGGGCCCCCTGCTCTCCCGGGCAGCCTATCAAAGGCGCTGCAGCTACAGGGAGTTGGTCGGTCAACCGTGGGGGGCCAGAGGGCTGTGTGACCAGGCTGCAGCGACTGCCACGGAGAGGGGGCGGCCGGGTGTACGGGGAGATCTCGAAGGCCGGGTTGCGGGTGGACTTAAAATCAGGGGTCGGGGGGTTCTATATGAATATAATATAATGCCCTTGCTGCATCCCGTCTGACCAACAATTGCCTTCCTGGGGGTTTGCTGCAAGCACCGGCTGGTGGTGCGTGCCTTCTCGGTGAGCTTGTCCAATGCTGTGTTTGCCTTCCGAAGCATTTGTGGCTCCGGCGAGCCAAAAGCACACTAGGGGTGGACAACATGCCTTCCCGTCAAACTGCAGCATGACAACGACGCGACGACAGCTGCACCAGCCTACGTATTCAATTGCAGGAGTTGTTATTGTGGCTGGTCTGTAGGCCAAACGGCCAGGTGGGGCGATTTTGCTTTGTGTGTTCAAGACGCCTTTTTGGCATCGTGTGTTCTAGCCCAGTCACTCAGTGGTGGATTTCAGCCTCTAAGCCCCTTTTTGTTTGGCCTACCAGGGTCGCTGGTTGCGACTGGGAATGACCATCAACTTGGGAGGTGTTCCAGCCACTTAGTAGGTAGTCCATAACCATGCCATGGCAAGGAGCCTAAGCCTGGTTCGCTTAAAGCTTTAGCCATGCTTCTGGGGTGAGAAGGGATTGCAGTTCTTCCCGATCGAACAGCTGCCTGCAGCGCTGCATGGAGCACAAGCGCCTGCGTCTGTCAGAGGCAGATGAGGCAACCGCAGCCAGGCACGAGGAGCGAGGAGCTTTTTGCGCTTAGCTTTTTTGCTTTTTGTGGTTTTGGAGAAAAGTAGCTGCGATTTTTGTTGCTCCATTCCCGATGGCTATCGTCCTGGCTGCAGGACATAGCGGCAAGAGTTGAGTCCGCCGGCCTGGTTGAGGACTTGCTGTTGTGTTTTCTGAAGGTGGGAGCTACCACTGCCATGCCTAGGATGATGTTGTACCAGTAGGAAGGAACAAGCGAGTATTCATGGATTCTTTTGCCTCTGCATGCATTGTTGGTCGGCATATGTGCCAGGAACGCTTGGTTGCGCTGGCTGACCGTGAGGAGAGGGGAAGACCATCTCAGAGTTCCACAGGTTGCCAGTTTGAGTCTGGCTGCGTGAGCCCATTGGTTTGCCTACTTCCAGGAAGGGTAAAGTCTGTTTGCTTTGACCACAGCAGGTAAAGACGGCAAGCAAAACGGAGGCTTGGCCGCCATTTGCCACTTAGCACGGAAGAATCGTGTGGCGTCTAGCCTGGACTGAGTGCGGCAGCGTTCGAAAGCCCAAACTGACGCAACTGGGCTTGAGCTCTTGTGCAGGATGACACCGACATGTCGCTGGACACGCTAGAAGCTGTTTACATTGGCCAGGCGCGGATCATTGCACAGCATGATGTGCGACTCGACGCACGTTTGCTGGCCTCACCTCAAAATAATGGCAAGAACACAAATCCACTTCTTCGGTTTCAGGCGCGAAGCACCTGGAAGGGAGTGCCTTTGGGCCTCTTGGCGGAACTTCGGGCATGTTGTCTGACATTTTGGCTTTCTTCTCGGAAGGGGGTCCTGAAATTAGGAAAGCTGCTTGGGAATGGATTTGGTTCAGATTTTGGTCCGTGGTCTAGCTCGTTGGCTAGAGGGCACAGGGAGTACTTTTGGCACAAAATGGATGCTGCGATGTGCCTTCAGCACAAACAGTTGCAGGACCCAGGATCTCAGGGGATCAATTTGCTGTCACCATTGGTTTATCCATGTTGCACTCTTCCCTTCCTCGGGGCAAACCAACATGTGGGACAGTTCGCAGGAAAATCCGCGCTTGATTGGCAAATGTACGCCACTCTGCAGCTGAGCTGGCATTCAGACGGGTCACGCGCTGCAGATGTCTTGGGCGCATGAGAAGTCAGTTTCAGAGGCTGGTTTGGAGGATTTCCTGGTGGAGTAGGCGGTTTTTTGGTTGAGCATCCATGAAAAAGAGTCCGTGAGTCAATCCATGTGGGGCTGTCCGGGATCCGAGAAGGTTCTGGGGCTGGCTTGGGCTTATCCTAGTGACAGGGGTTGGTTCCCTGGATGTAGCCGGAGGTTTCCTCACCTTGTTGAACCTGCTTGACCATGGACACGAACCATATTGCTTGGCTTGGTGCTTGCTCCTAGCTGGTGGGTGTTACCTGAGGGATCTCATTTTTTTTGGTCCACTTCTGTTTCCATTCAGACGCCAACCAAAAGGAGGCCTCCGATTCCGGAAGCGCGCTGACGTCAGGAGAGACATTCGGAGCACACCCCCGGCTGACCAGAAAGGGCTCGAGTTTTCATCGGAACCTCTTCGATCAGAAGGTTCTAAGGGCCTTGGTCAGGGAGCGAGGCTTTGTTCGCCCGTAGAGTTACTTCGCAAAAACTTATTTGTTGGTTGGATGTGTGCTTCTCCTATTGCAATGTTGTGATTGCAATCATGAACGTGTGCATTGATGAATGAAAGCGCTTGCCTGCTTGAATGGCAGGCAGCACCTAGACCAGGGTAGCAGGGCTGCTTCTTCTGTGGGGGGTTGGGTGTGCGTTACAAACAGGGGTCCCCCATTAATGGATTTCGCTTTTTTGCTTGGGTTCCCTCTGAAACCACCCCAAAACAAGGTACCCTCAAAAAGCACTTGGAGAATAGACCCTCAACATTTTGCATGGTTCAACCAGCCCTCAGAAAAAAAGAAACAAACACAAAACAACACACCTACCCGCCTCTTCCACGCCTGTCATGCAAATGGACCCCACCGAGGATCGAGGAGCTGAAGCCCAGGACCATCGTGGACATCGGCTCCTGGGCCGGCGGCAGCGCGCCGGGGACCCAAATGGGCGCGGGCACGTGGGGAAAACGTCGAGGGCATGGCCTCAGCCTCGATTTGTTTTCTTTATTATTTGTTTATTATTATTTAAATTTATTTTTCTCCGGTGGTTCTTGCGGTTTTGGAGGGCGTTTTGGTGAAGCCAAAGGGAAGCGGCATGCCTTCGTATTGTCCAAACGGAAGAAGCAGAGGTCCTTGCCTGTTTGTTCTGAGTGGGCAGGGTGCTGTTCTTGGCTTTTGCTGATGGCTTTCCTGAAGGCGCCTGGCGCGTCTTATAGAAGGTTGCATAAAACATGATGATGTTCCCGCGGGTTAGTTAACGTGGAGCCCCCAACCAGCGGCGGCAATTCTTGGGGCATCGTCATTTCGGGGAACCGTTTTGGGTTCCAAGCTTGACTTCTGCAGGAGTAGATTGTCCAACCCAGGTGTCAGGTGTCGGCATTGTCCAACCCTTGGGCTGGTAACCCGGCCAGCTCCATGATTCACGGCGCCTAGCATCATTTGCAAAGCTCGGCTCAGGCTTTTCTTTGCCGACTTTGCGCAGATGCTGGTTGGCGAGGATTTTCACAAGGTTGTGCATTGGCTGAAGGGTTTGTTGGTGAGCAAATTGAAGGGAAGTTGCACGGGACGGGTAGTTGAACGCGGAAGCCCTCACATAGCCCACGGCCTTTTCATGGAGCCCTCATCTTTTGCTCGCCGAAGGTCAGCCTGGACATAACCCTCAGAAGTGTACGCAACTTGGCCAGAAGACTTGGCACCTGCAACTTGCAAGCAGTGAGAATGACATACGGCGAGTGCATGCGCGGGTCGGGCGCTGTTGCCCAGTTCCTTAGTGGGCGCTGTGCCTTCACCCGTGCAGGAAGCACTGCCCGGCAGCATCCCAAAATCCAGTTCCATGAAGCTTGTTGTCAATTAGCCCCTCCCCCCTGCCCCCACTGCAGTTTCCTCGCCCTTGGGATACCTTATGTTGTCACCAGCACGGAACTGCCCTTTCGGAGTCTTGAAGCGGCTGGTTCGCCCACCCAGGAATGCAGCACGGAGCGCTTCCAGGCGTGGCGAGAGGTTGCAAAGCGTGTTTTTGGTTGGGAAATGTGAGGCAACCCATTTGGTTCACAGACAAAAGAATGAACCTCCCAGATCTTTCCTTTGCACCTCTTAGCCTGGCGTTTCCAACTGAATGGACGTTTGTCTGCCTGATAAGTTTTATGCTTCCATTTGGCACAAGATTACTGTCTCATGTCTCTGCGATGAGACCCGCAAGCCCGACGGGAACGGAGTTGTTGGTCGCCCACCAAACCCAGCCAAACCTGTGAGGGAGCCCTTCCGGAGGAGCTTTTCACAGATGACTTTGTGTCCGCTCTTCCTCGCCCTTGGCTGCTGGGCTTTTGCTTTCAGATAGGATCTGGGCTGCGGGTCTCCACCCTTAAAAGGGGATGTCGCTAAGGACGTATGGGTGCATATGACGATGTGGTTAGTTTTCGTTTGCGCTCCCTTCAAAACCACCACAAAAGGGGCCCTCAAAAAAGAGACCCATATTTTTGCCTTTGCGAGCCAAGGTAAGATTAACATCAGGGCATACCGCTCAACATCTCAACACGGCAAACACCGAAGCTTACGCTCAGTGCAACAGCCGAGGCTGGTGTCCGAGGATGCCCATTACCACTTCGCTGCGGTCATGGCGCGGCTGCATGCGGTCCTGCAGCCCGGGGACTACCTGGTGGCGGCTCGCTCAGGTGGAGTTGGTGGTTCAGTGGGGGGTGAATCTGCTACAATATATGCGGCTTTCTTTGAAAAAAGTCCCCTCGGTTTGTACTGTTGTTCGGTATGTTTGAAAGTATGTTGGTCTTTTAACATTGTGCAGGGGCGGATGCACGAATGGCATATCCCAACCGTAGCCGGGAGTGAAGCGTCACCTGCTGAAGCTTTGAACCTGATGCCCCGCTTTTTGCCCATTTGGTCCCTAGTGGGTTTGGCCAAAAAAACTGTGCTCAAGGTGGAAGACACCAGTCTGCAGATGCATGATTGGTTCGCGGAGAGCAACGCTGAGGACGGGGTGCAAACTTCTCATGGAGGGGCTTATTTTCTTACTGAAGGCGTGTCCTGTTCAGGCGGTGAGAGCTGTGCCAGGAATGGCCATCAACCGCTCACTTGGCATGTGCCACCACCGTTGCACAGGTCTCCCACCAGGGCTAGGCCAACCATGAGCAGGACGTGTTCCCCCACCTACAAATCAGTTGAAAGCCCCATTTCGTGGTTGCTCTAAAATACCATGATCTTCTGTCAGTATCTGGATGGGCAGGGTCCAAACCAATGATTGACAGCTTCGGAGTTCCGGATGCCATACTGCGGATGGACAGAATCCTGCACCACCTAAGAAACCATGGGAAACCTTCTTTGTTGGTATTTGCAGGGAATCATCAAAAGCCAGGGTTTCTTAGGTGGTGCAAAGTGGGTTTCGTCCATTCACAGTATCTCTTGGTAGGAGGGCCCAGAGAAGCGGGAGCGCACCGCGGAGGCCATCCAGCAGCTGCGCAGAAAGCGGGAGATCTTCGTGCGCTACTGACGCCCGGACCGATTGGTTTTCTTTTGGTTGGTTTCGTTCTGGTTTCCTGAGTGACCAGCCCCAAAAAAATCCAGCCCTGCTTCCAATTGGCTATAACATGTTGGTCTGCAACTGGGGGGGGTGCTTGGATGTTCAACCTGCTTTGAAAATCGGCTATATCCATAGACAGAACTGATGTAACCCTCCGCTATAATGCCCTGTGTGGCCAAGAAGCATCAGATGAAATTTGCAGGTAGGCATTGGACATGTGTTTGCGCTTTGGGCTCGAATTTATTTTGCATGGGGACAGAGGCATGACTGGCTTGGTTGTTTTCACATGGGGGCCCGTGATCCATCGACCAAGTGATACATCTCAGGGTCGGCCATCAGAAGACACGCAGAGAGACAACTCGCATGCTCAACGCGCTCCCGTTGCGAGGCACGGAACATGCCGACAAGTACCGGTGCGACACCAAGCGACGCAGCAGCAATGGGCACTTGTTTTTTTTTTTTTTTGGGGGGGGAGGCTTTGAAGCTTGGGCGACTGCCAACCCCATCAGAGGTATGTGGACATGTTTGGCTACAACGTGGGGAAGCACTGGAACAGCATTGTGAAGCGTGTTGCCTGAAACCTGGCGCGTTTCACATTGCCCAGCCCCGGTGTGCAAAAAGCCAGGCAGAGCTACCGCCGAACCGCGCCGGGGTGAAGCAAGCAAGCTGCGGCAGGTATTGTCCCAAGAGGATTTAGTGGACTACTCGGACGAGGAGGCCCTGCTCTTGGATTTCGACTTTCCTTGAATTTCCTCACCTAGTCTGGCCCTCTTCGAAGCACCAACAACAACCGCCCCCCAGGCAGTAAAGGGCACTGCACCAAAATCTACACACAAGCAGCTTGGCTGGTCGTTTTCCGGGGTGCGCTCACGGAATTCTGGCTTTTCCGCGCTTACCCGCTGGTGCAGGTCCCAGCGCGGCCCCGGGAAGGGGAGGACGAGAAGTGGCGCTCTGCCCGGAGTGGGTTGGTGACCCTGCCGGCGGATGAAAATGGGGACGCCCACAGCAAGCTCGCTTCGATGTCAGCATCGGGTTCATTTGGGCTTTGGGGTCAGCCCGCTGTGGTAACTTTGGCGCACAGGTCAGAGACTTGGGCCAAAGGTGGACGTGTCAAATGAAAGCGCCACTTTGTCCTGAAAACCTCCACCGGCAGCACGGCCCATTTCTTTTGTGTGAACTGGACTGTTGATTGTTAGTTTGCTGAACATTTTGTGCCCATTGCTAGGAGTCTTCAATACTGCAAGTAAAATATCCACAAGCTTCCAGGACTTCTTTGGAAGTTTCCCCATCGCACTTTCTTTTTGGAGCCATGTTCGTGTGTCTTCTTTTGTTGGGACCTTCTTTGGGCTGCTGAAAAGGGAAAGCCAAGATCACAGCCCAAGCTTGTTGAAACCGGACAGCCTTGAGACACAGCTGCGCAGTTCCGCATGGCGTGGGCTTGGCAAGCTTCGCTCTCAGGCATAGCTCGAAGGAGCGCGCTACCGCTGAGGTGGGCAGAACAATTGAATCGGTCCGAAGCGTGGTGTGAGAGGGAGATCCCTCCCAACGCCAACCTGGGGAAAAGCTTGGGGGGTTTGGCACAGGAATTGTACTCATGGCCCCGCTGGAGACATCCAATCGGGGCAATGAAGAATCCCCCCTTTGCCCCTTAAACAGGCGGCGGGAATTCAAGTGGGTCCACTTCGTGCCTCAAAGTGTCTTTGCAGCGCAGCCATGACAACGTTTACTCTGCAAGAGGTGTTAACACGGTGGACAGAATCAGTTTGTCGACCCCAGATGACTCAAAAGCACAGGGCCCCCTCTAAAACAAGACCAATGAAACTAGGTCAGAACTGGTTTGGACAGGGGCCCTATGCGTGGCAGTTTTTTTGCAACGTGTGATTCTTGAATGCCTCCTTTCAAACCCACCTTCTACAATTGCAGGTCAAGAAGTCACCATCCCCAAGACCAAAGTCGAGCCCTTTAAATTGCGGTTTCAAGGAACACCATCCAGACAAGCCCTCTAAATCTGGTTCCACTTGAGGCCCGAAACGAATTTAATTTGGCGCCTGGACAGAGCTCGCAGGTGGAGGCGCTGCACGCGCTGCAACGGCTGCACGGCAGGCACCGGCTTAGGATAGCTGGCTTTGAAGGGAGACACAGGGACAATCGCCACTTTTGGGGCATGTCCCGCATTTGGTTTGAATGGACCGCGTTCAGAGGGCCTCTCGGGATCTTCTGAGCTCCAACTTGTGGTTTTGTGGTGAAACGGAGGGGCTTCCCATTTACCGTCCACAAGAACCAGGGGTGCAAATCCCAGATCACCAATCACAACTACCAATCAGCTGAGAAAACCAACAAATTCTAGAGGGTAGTTTTTTTTTTACAGTTTCCAAACGGGAGGTTGGTCAGTATTCCTGATGGGCGTCCTTTGCTTGGGAGGCGAGAGGAACCCACAGGTTTTAGGTTTTTTAATCATTTGACTGTGCTGTGAGTTGCAAAAGGAGAGGTTCTTGGAAGATTGGCATCATCGTGAAAAGGCACTTTGACCATGTCCGCGATTGGAAGCAGGGAATGTGTCAGATCTGGGGACTTCCAATTATCCCAGACGCTTGACTTTTGGACCCGAGTGACCTAGAGAGAAAGTTGTCGCCCCATGGGCCATGAGGGAGGCACATGATTCTGATTGACCTCGGTTTAGTCGTAGGAGACTGTCACATGCACATCAGGACTGTGAAAACACCCACCCGCACAGAGACGTGGATCCGCACACACGCACATAGCTTTTTGCCGCACGGGCAGCCGGATTGAGGCGAGCAAAGTCATCTTCTGCTGGACAGGCCGGGCATGCTTCGGTTGGCTTGAACATCACCTTCTGGCCAGTTCACAGTGAGTTTCCCTTGGTCGGGGTGATGTTTTAAGGGGATGTCAGGCATCCTGGGGGTTTGCTGGTCTGGGTGTTCTCTGGCCACACGGAGGTTGCGAAACAGGAACGAAGTTTGGACGCAAGAGTGCAAACCCAGTGAGGAGCAGAGTGGTTCCTGGAACAGGGGAATAGGTGATCACCATTGTGTATGTGCTGATTCTTAAGAGATCGGTTTGTATGGGTTTTGATTTATGTTTGACATGGGCAAGGCCAGCGCTTCCACGGAATTACCTCAGTGCTGGTTTGAAGCTGTGCCACGCTGGTGCTGGGCTTGTCATAGGCTTCAGCGAATCTCTTTTGTTTGGTGTGCCAACCAGGGGATTGTTCGTGGGTGCAAGGCGATACCTGGAATCAATGAATCTAATGTAGATAGGTTAAATAGGTGAGTCATGAACACATGTACAGACACACTCTATATACATACAATACACATATACATTATATATCTATCTATCTATCTATTCATCTATTCATCTATCTATCTAATCTAATCTAATCTAATCTAATCTAATCTAATCTAATCTAATCTAATTAAATCTATCATATCCATCATCACCTACCCCATCCATCAATCCATCCATCCCTCCATCACCATCCATCCATCCTCCTTCCATCCCATCCATCAATCCATATCCATCCTCCATCCATCCATCAATCATCATCCATCATCCATCCATCCCACTTTTTCCATTCCATCCATCTCATATCATCCATCCATCCTCCTCCATCCATATCCAAACCTCCATCCATCCCTTCATCCAAACCATCCTCATCCATCCATCATCCATCCATCCATCCTCATCCATCCATCCATCATCATACATCCATCCATCCATCCATCATCCATCCATCAATCCGTAATCCATCCATAATCCATCCAGCCAGGCAGGCAGGCAGCCAGCCAGGCAGGCAGCCAGCCAGCCACCCATCCATCCAGCCAGCCATCCATCCATTATTATCATCTATTATCTAAAATTGTTCAGGGGCTTGATAACCTTCCCAGTCCCTGCCACCACAAGATATCTATCTATCTATCTATCTATCTATCTATCTATCTATCTATCTATCTATATATCTATATATGGAGCGTCTTCCTCCCCTCATGTTTATTCTTGATTTTTTGTGGGTCAGCTTCCCCACCGAGTGAAGGGCTTGAGGTTGGAGCCAGGCCATGGGCCCGGCCCTAGCTGCGGCAGCACTGGAGGGCTTCTACCAGGCCGTTTCGGGGAAGTGCGCGTGTGAGCCGCAAGCAAAACCCGGGCAAGGGACACATTTCCCCAACCGGAAAAATGTGGCCGTGGCAAGTCTTTACCGTGTTTTGGGTGCGGTTGTGTACCAGGTTTTGATGACTCAGGTGAGGGGGTGGGAGATTTTCAGGCTCTTTGGACCCTAAGCCCCTCCCCTATCGACCCAGGCCAAGCAATCATGGCGCGACCTTCGTGGCAAGCCCAACCCCTTGGCGAGGTTGCGACTTAGTCTGTGGTTGCTTTTGGGAGCAATGCCCTGGTTGGGCAGAGCCTCCCCCCGGTGGGTGGGAACCCCCTTTGCCGAGACATGTTTTGGACTATGCAGAGCACACACACGTACATATACAAATGCACACATTCAAGTATATATATATATATATACACATACATATATATATATATACTTGTACCTATAGGTGTGTTCAGCTTGAGGCCGTTGGCGATACACCCTCGAGGGTCACATGGCAACAAGCCAGAGAGGCCCACAAAACCTTGCCTGCCCAAGTTTCTCATTTGACACTCAAAGTGGCCTTTTCTTTTTTGCGTCTTGTCCTGACAACCCTCTGCCGGTCTTGCAGCGCTTTGCTTTGGTTTGTTGCCTGATTCTAGTTTCAGGTGTTTGTATTTCCTGCTTGGTGCCTCACTTCTCCGATTGCCCTTCCACGTTGCTTTCGGGTGATTCTTCTGATCTCTTTTGATGGGCTCGCGGCATCCTGGCCTTGCGCGCTTGCATGGCCATCTGCTGGCCCAGGCTGAAGTAGATATAAACCATGCGCATGGAATGTTTACAATGTTGATGCTTCATCAAACATCTCTTCTCCCCCATGAAGACATACCCCGACAGGAGCACCAAACCCCGCATTGTACGTCAGCAACCGTAGCAGCCTTTTTACATGCACAGTGCGTCGCAGTGCATGGACCTTTACACGGTCTGACGCAATGGCCGAAGTGGACGACGAGGCACGGACAGAGCGTGGCATGATTTGCCAATGCAATCACTGGGTGCTTTGCAGCTATCGAGCGCTGCCCTCCCGCTGGTGGCTGCATGTTGGGCCAAGACTCCTTGGAGAATGCAGGGCGGTGGGGGGAAATTCCGTAGTCTTGAGATCGCCCCAGGGGTTGCTTACGCCGGAGTTTGCAGAGGTGGGGATGGGCCGTGCATGGCTTGGCGGCTCTTGGCCCGGGATTGTGACTATCCGAGCCGACAGAACAGCTGTCCACATGCATGCGTTGTGGAAGCTGTAAACTTATGAATACGGATTCTTGCAAACAACCTCAGAAGACAACCACTGGTACATATTCCTAGACAAAAGTGCCCGTAGAACTTGCCAGGATGGGCTCTTTGCCGTCCGGGGCGGCGCCTTTG